TCCCGGTAGCAGCGAGCTATCTGGAAGTACCTAGCACACAGAAAACAGCTGCAACTAAAATATTCTATTTTTACTCCATCACGTTCAGTTAGAAAGAAGAGTCCCAGCAGCTAGTCTAAAACAAAACAAAAAAGTCTTATTAAAGTATTATCAAACAATAATAATGGACTAATAAAAGGATAAAATACTTTATATTATGTTCTCATGATAGTTTCTGCTTTTAAAACTAGATATACTTTGATTTGGACAAGTTAAAAGTCTTTATTTAACATTATCTGTATCTTATAATCAAACAAAATTTAAGGTATTTCAGGTAGACTGAGAAAAAAATGTCTGATTTTCAGCTGCCTGCACCGTCTCTTTCCCCCTGTTGTCAAACGCACTTATTTCCAAGTCCAAATATTAGAAATCAACATCCCCATTTAACTCAGGAGGTGTCTGAGTCCAGCAAAAGTCTTTAACATCTGCTAAAGATTCTTTTGTGGCTCTTTATGTCACTTAGTTATGTACGGCTAACCAGCTAACAGGCTAACCAGCTAACAGGCTAACGGCTAACAGAGGCTGGAGGGGGGGCCCGGGCTCCTACCGGTCTACGCCGGCCACCATGAGGAGCTGTTTGAACTGCTGAGGGCTCTGCGGCAGAGAGTAAAACAGACCCGGCTCTCTGGAGGGAACCACAAACTCTTTGGCCCCCTGAAACACACACAGATCCACCACATCCACCGCTCACTCACAGAGAAGATGGCCTAAAAGACGTGCTATGATAAAAGACTAGAGGAGCCTCTTACCCCGGGGGTTCTTTTGAACAAAGTGGGTGTTTCCACATCCACAAATCCTAGAAAAAAATCAGATAAAGTCATTAAAAACAAATCTAAATGGATGTAATAACGGGATAGGCTTCAGAGCTCTGTCATACCGTGCGTATTGCAGAGATATTCCCTCATCTTCATCACCAGCTCAGACCTCAGCCGAAGGTTTCTCTGCATCTGAGCGGACCTCAGGTCCAGGTATCGATACTGCATCCGCAGAGCCTCCGACTTCTGTGAAGAGTCCAGCCCAGATCCAGACCCCCGTCAGCCTCAGGGTCCAACCAACAGACCCCATCCAACCACCCCCCCCCGCCCTGTGAGTTTACTTTGACGTGTTCTTTGATCTCAAACGGCAGCTTCCGGCACACGTTGAGGACCTCCGCCTGCTCCGCCCGGAGCTCCACCTCCCCGGTGGGCATCCCCTGTGGGGCAGAGGGGGGGGGGGGGGGGGTTCAGGGCGGTGCCTCGGGGGGGAAACGCCTCCTCTGACCCCGCACACCCACCTGGTTCTCCTGCCCCGCCGGCCGCCTTCTGACGGTGCCCGTTACCTTGACGACGGACTCCACGGTGAGACCACACAGCAGCGCTTTCAGACGGGACTCAGACTGAAATCAGAGGAATGAAATCAGAGGAGGCTGCTGCCTAAATGGAGGAAAACAGAGTGCTGGACTCCTTTGTTCCTCAGGATGTACAACTCCTCACTTCAGGGAAGATGGAGGTGATAGGAAGCTGGAAACTGTGTAATATTCTTCTTTCTCACTGCAAAATAACAGGTGCCAACTACTGTGTAGTCTGTATAGTATTTTTACTTATACTCAGAACTGTTTTATCTATCTACTGTGTAGTCTTTTCTCTGCTCTTTACTTTATATCTAAAGGAAACATATACTCTTTCTCTTTTGTCCTCTACATAAGCTACTGGAACCCTGAATCCCTGAAGGGAATAAATAAAGGGGATAAATGAAGCTGAGTCTAAGTCTAAAAGGTCAGCCATGTGTCTGTGACCCTCTGAGTGACCCATCAGATCCCAGCTGACCGGAGCTCATCCGAACCCACTAGCTCCTGTTGGCTTTCTTACTTCTTCCTGAGGGATCAGAACTTGTGTCAAGCCGCTGAAATCTCGCAGGATGACGAACAGGTCTTGTCTGTTGGGGTCAGAAAAAACTAATTTAGCACCTCTGGGATGGTCAAACACCAGCAGAAAGGTGGAACATTTACATAATATCTGGTTCAGAGCCATTCTAGTTTCTGCTTTTTCTCAGTAAACAGGGCTCTTTGCCTCTATATCGGCTAGTCTTATAAACCCTCAGAGGTTAGGGTTATGATGTACCTGAGGTACTGGACCCAGCCGCACAGGGTCACCTTCTCCCCCTCGTGCTCCGCCCTCAGCTCTCCACAGGTGTGGCTCCTGAGGGACAGGCTGCTGGGACCTGGGACCAGCAGAGGACAGCAGGTCACACCTCCAGCGGGTACAGGGCTCCCCACACCCCCCTCCTCCTGCCCCCTTACCTGTACCGGAGGAGGCCTGGACCGGGACCGGGACCGGCCTGTAGCGGGAGTCTGAGCAGCCCGGGCGGCTCTGCGGAGCCCCGCACAGCGCGCGTCCTCCCCCCGGCCTCTGGGACCAGACGGACCCGGCTCTAAGGAGCCTTTGCAGCAGCACCCGGCTCCGAGCCGCCATCTGGACCGGTTACGGAGGCCTCAGCGGACCCGGAGGACCCAGATGCTCGGTACGGAGGACAGCCGCCTCCTCTCGCTCCTCATTCGTCCCGTTCAGGACCTCCAGGCGACTCTCTCCTCACGTGGAAGTGCTGCTCCGGTTGTTATTAAACTGACTCCCCTGTCAGAGCTGCACGAGCGGATGTGACGTCAAAGCCCGGCGCCGGATCTTCCCCACCGGATGTGACGACACAGGCCAAAACGGAAGTTATTCAATCTGCGATTTGGTCGATCCAGGACCTGGTTAGTCACCTGGGAGTCAGGTGTTTAATCAGTTATGTGCCAAAAAACAAAAACACAGATCATAAAATTGCAACAGCATAATCCAGGTTTAAAAGAAGAGCAGTTTCTAAAGTGATATACAATCGCGATGTCAAGCATTGAAGGCAGTTTGTACACAAACATGATGAATATTCAGATGTGTACCGATTAATGTGATATTATCTATGACCAGATTACAAAACCATTCCCCACTAACACACAACAAACACTTACGACAGCTCATAAAAGCATTTAAAGCGTTTAAAGCGAGTCCCTCCATGGTCTTCCAGGCCACCTGGTGGCGGCAAAGCGCTCTGAACGCGAATTAAAGCCCAAGAAGAAGAAGAATAAGACCCGGAAGCGCTGATCAGAGTCCCAGATTGCACAGTTCAGGGACTGTGGGCCGTTTCCCTGTCAGGTTTTGCTTTTGTAACGTGTTCAGAGCCACGGCCTGCAGACATGTCGGCCGTTAGGCTGATGAGGGCCATCAGGGTGAGCCAGTTCGGGGCTCCGTCAGTCCTCCAGCTGTGCCCAGATGTGGCTGTCCCGCAGCCCGCTCAGGGACAGGTGAGTGGCCAGCCGGAAGCAGCCCCCAGCCAGAGGATCCCACCTTATGTCTATGGATCCCACAGCAAACGTGCTTCTCTCTTTCTTGGTGTCATTTCCTCAGATCTGATAAGCTGAACAGCCACGACACCACTTTTGTCAATGTCAACTTTATTTATGCAGCACATGTAACTAAAACTACATTTGCCCAAAGTGCTGCACAACAAACAGTATACTGTGCAATAAATGAGTAAAAAAAAGAATGACAAGATACACAAACACTAAGAAAAATAAATAAATAAAACTGTCACTACATGCACAACCTGTTTCATAAACCAACAACAAAGTAGAAAAGGTTCTTTATTATAAATATCCAACATGCTGGAGCATCCAGAAGACAGTCGACTTGAAGCCAGATTTAATGTTAACTTATGTTTGAGTGTCTAAAAAATCTTTTTACGTAACAAATTCACCAAAAACTCCACAGAATGTGCACCTGTGGGACAAAGCTGCTAAATGCCTGGTGTAGGACCTGGCCTTTTGGGCTCATATGAGGAGTGTCCCTGTTTTCTGGGGGTGGACACATGGACATGGGACAGTCTGAGCTGTTTCTGTCAGAATCAGAAATACTTTAATAATCCCAGAGGTGTGTGTTCTGCCTCCCTCCTCTGGCTGTGACACAGGTTCTGATCCGTGTCCACGCCTGTGGGGTGAACCCTGTGGAGACCTACATCCGCTCTGGAGCCTATTCCCGGAAGCCGGCTCTGCCCTACACGCCGGGGTCTGATGTAGCCGGAGTGGTGGAGGCCGTTGGAGAGGGAGTCAGCGTGGTCAAGGTGTGTGTGTGTGTGTGTGTTTGTGTGTGTACCAGCCTCCTCTGTAGGAGCTTGTTGTGGCTTTGGCCCCTCCCAAAAACATCCTGAGTGTTTTCCAGCCGGGCGACCGTGTGTTCACCACGGCAACCGAGTCCGGAGGCTATGCAGAGTATGCAGTAGCAGCAGAGGACAGCGTCCACCGGCTGCCCGGAGCTCTGGACTTCACACAGGGGGCGGCCATCGGCATACCGTACTTCACCGCCTACAGAGCTCTGGTTCATAAGTAAGAACACACATTGTTAGTAATCGGGCCGATGTTTGGCAGCTCTGATGGTTCAGAAGTCCTGGGAAGTTGTCAATTCAATTTCTTAAAATTATTTTAATAGTAATTAATCACAATAACCCCCTCAGCTGTTTTTTGTTCTCTGGTTTTGACATTTGCATCATAAGGAGTTAATAGTGTGTCTGTAAAATGTTTGAAAAGTTTCCTTTTGAGTTGGTGAGCCCTGCTAAAACCAGTCCGGAGTTACTTATGTCTTCTTTCATTTCTATTCAAAAGATTTTGGGGCAGAATTTGGACAAATGCAGAGACCAAACAAGGTAAAACAAAGTTAGAAAAACCATAAAAAACAGAGTCTGTTGGTCCCCCACAAACTCTGGAGCTGCCTGAGATGAAACAGTTTTTGTGTGTGTGAACACTTTATTTAGCTTTACAACATCTGTGTGTGTTTAGTTGTAATGTTCATCTGTGAGCTGAAAAACGCTAAAGTCGTTCTTCTTTTCACCTGCTTTGTGGTGTTCCTCAGAGCTCACGCCAGAGCTGGAGAGACCGTCCTCATCCATGGAGCCAGCGGGGGGGTGAGAGCAGTTTTTGAGCTTTTATACATCAGCAAAACACACCAATAAACCCAAAAGCAAACAGAAAGACAATACTCAATGAGCTAAAATCCTCCAAAGTGTCTAAAGCACCGGACTCCCTGTCAAGACCAGACCCCAGTACAAGTGTACGGTCTGTTTGACCAGAAAGTAATCAATAGAATCATGCAATTATCCCAATTGTTTTGTTATACTCTCAAATCCAAATTTGTCAAGAGAAACGTTGGAAACCTTGAGTTGAGCCTCTAGCTGACGACCCAGTGCTTGTTCCAGTGAGAGGACAGAGGAGCTCTTCTTCTCTCTTTCTCAGTGTAACAAAGGCTGCTTTTTAAAGGAGACATATTATACTCTATTTCAACAAGTTAAGCTAGTTCCCTGGTGTCCTGATGTAATGTCTGTGCCAAGCTTTGGTCAGAATCCCATAAGGATGAAGCCCAATAGCAGTTCAGTCCCCCTGCCTAACCCTAACCCTAACCCTAACCCTAACCCTAACCCAAAACAGCCCCGTTCAGAGCGCTCGCTTTGGAGTGCCTGTCTCTTTAAATGCAAATGAGACACAGGCAATCCACCCACTTCTTCAGGAGGTGTGCCCACGTCGGCACGCTAACGCTACCACGCTAATGCTACCATGCTAACGCTACCGTGCTAAAGCTACCATGCTAACGCTCACGCTACCAGGACGTCTCCACAGATAGGGGAGTAAGCTGAGGGGGGGGGCAACATGCAGGTGAAAGGCTGGAATATTATAATGAGCTAGATAATATATAATAATATTAATATTATAATAATAATAATATTCTAATGAGCTAGAGCTAATGAGGTCAGAAACTACCCACTCCTGAAACCTCCTGATTTATCTCCTGGATTCAGACTGAGGCGGCCCACAAAAACATGACCCAGTCATTTTTTTTAACCCTTTTCCTGCTGATAGGCCCTCCACAGTCCCAAATGTACACAATCACATGATTAAAAACTTGGTTTTGCATAATATTTATTTATTTATTTATTTCTTTAATCAGGACAGTGCACATTAATGAACAATCTCATACAGATTGTAAATGAGCCAGATTCTAGCATAGTTGCTAGTTTACATCTGTGGTCCTGAGGCAGGAAGACCAAACAACACAAAATCACACAATACAAAATCAGTCCAAACACACGTTCAGACAATGACATTACAAAATTAAAATTAATTCAATTCAATTTTATTTCTATAGCGCCACATCACAACAACAGTTGTTTATCTCACAGCTTTCCAAACAGAGCAGCTCAGACCTACTCTGAAGTTAACTACAGAAACCCAACAATTCAGTCATTTTGATAGTGTCCCCTTTAAAGTGGGCTCTCTGAGTTTGAACACCCCCCCCCCCCTTACAGGTGGGGGTTGCTGCCTGCCAGCTGTCCCGGGCTCTGGGCCTCCGGGTGCTGGGGACGGCGGGGACTCCGGGGGGGATGCAGCTGGCTCTGGACAACGGAGCCCACAGGGCCTTCAACCACCGAGAGGAGGGCTACACCGACCAAATCATGGTACCCACACTCAAAAAGATGAGCAGGGAACAGAGACCCCTCCAGACCTCAGTCCTTACAGCAGTGCTTCTCAATTATTCTCTGTTACCCCCCTAGCAAGAAGAAAACTATTCGCCACCGTGACTATCCATCTCTGCATAACATTTTATCCTTATTAACATTAAAGAGAAGAAACAAAGAAAGACTTATGGTCAAACTTACAAAGAATAACTGTATTAAATCGTGTTTTAAGTCTGCAACAGAAAAGATTTTAAGTGCATCAATGCCTGAAATAAAAAATAAATAAATCCTTGTTTAAACTGTAAACGTGTTTGACCAACTAATTGCACCATTGCAAAATGAAATCAAATCAATAAATAATATTTAATAATTATAACTAATAAACTAAAAAATAAATAAATAATAATAACTAATTTATATTCAGTTCAGCAACATTAACTAATATATAAAACACTTAGCTTTCGGGTGACTTTCTTTTGTGTCGTTATCTTTGTCTCTCTCCGCTTTTCTTTAATCCCCATTAAAAACTTTTTCATGTTGGGGGTTTTTATGTTGAATAACAGAGGCTATAGACAGAACGCAGTCTGAGCTTTCTGTTGACTCAGCACTGCTAACCGAGGCTAACCTGTTGTCTTGTAAATCGTAAAATGTTGCACTGAAGATAAGAGCTTTATTGATCTCACATTGGAGAAATTCACTGGTCACACATCGGAGTTCAAAAGGAGGAAAAGGTGCATAAAGTACAGCAAAAACAAACAAATATACAAGGAAGCAACACAGCACAGAGATTTGGGTGACTAAAATATATACAATCATTGATGGCTCACACACAGTACACATATTACACAGGTCAATGAATATAACACAATCGCACAGCAGTTGTTAAAGTGCAGCGTTGTACAGTATGGTAGCAGCAGGGATGAATGAATGAATATCGCTCTTTTACTAAACGAGCTGCTCAGCTCCTCTACAGTGTGATGCACTGCCCCTACTGGAGTGGATGCGCAATTACACTTTATACTAGTACGGCCCAAAAAAAGAGGCTGTTCCCCAGGGTCACTGTTCCCCACTATTTGAAAAGCACTGCCTTAAACCTGTGTCCCCCAGGAGGCCACCGGGGGCCGCGGAGTGGACGTGATCGTGGAGATGCTGTCCAACGTGAACCTGAGCAGCGACCTGCAGATGCTGGCACTCTCCGGGCGGGTGGCGGTCAGTGAGACCTCAAACTGGACCTCATAGACCAGTTCTCCGGTCCCTAATCTGCTTTACATCTTTGTCTGAAGGTTGTTGGCTCCAGAGGCCCCGTAGAGATCAATCCCCGGGACACCATGGCCAAAGAGAGCTGCATCATGGGAGTGGCCCTCTTCTTTGCCACGCCGGTACGAAAACACTACACAACTTTAACTTTTCTAAAGAAATTTTGAAGGGGGCCCATCTATTGCCCGGTCCAGGAACCTGGTCTGGCTTTATGTGGCTCAGCTCATCTCCATGGCAACAGCAGTCAGGCCCCACCTCTCAACATTCAAAACTTCACAGCTGTCAATCATCATCAAGGCAGCCACCTGACAGTCTGATAGTTAGGGTCAAAAGTTGACCCCGAACTCCTGCCCGCTGTCCGAAAGCTATAAGAGATAGCTGGAAAATACTCGAACCGTGAGCACGATGAGGGTCGCAGGGCTCTGCCAGTGTATTTTATTTTCGGCTGCTCCCACCGGTTAGTTTTTTATGGCAATTTTCAAAATAAGGGCAGTTTCTGCAGATTCTGAAAATGTCTGTCTTTTATTCCCTTCAAATCCTATTGGAGAGGGTCAGATTGTCGGATTTCCTGATTTTCACTAAAACGTAAACAGGGATTGTTGGCAAACGGTGCGAGATCTGGCCTGGTGACTCAGATATGGCTCTAATATGATGGAGGCCCGTCTTTCGTGACCCGTTCAATGTATAAACAAGGTTTCTCTGACGATGTGGGGCTGAGTGATGAGGCCTAGAAGCGGGCCCTGTTTTGGGCCCGTTTTTCGGCCTTCACATTCATATCCTATGGGACGGCGTTTAGCCTTTTTCGCAGTTTATTCAAAAACGCAGTGACTAATGAGAAAGATTTTGACAAGAACACCTTGCGTGGTCGGTTCGGACGCGCGTGACGATTTTGGGCCTGATCCTTTGAACCGTACGGGACTAGTTAGGTGCTGGAAATCGGGCGGTAATGGAAGAAGAAGAAGCCTCGAAATAAATAAAATCTGCCACAGAGCTGCTTCCACCAGAGTATAAGGCTGGAGCACTGACATGGATGGATGCCAGACACAAACCCTGAGAGGTTTTCCCTCTCTGGCAGGGTGAGAAACAGGAGTGTGCGGCGCTGGTTGCCGCGGGGATGGAGGCGGGCTGGCTGCGTCCGGCGGTGGGCTCCAGGTATCCGCTGGGGGAGGCCGCCCGGGCCCACCACGACATCATCCAGTCAGCCGGGGCTGCTGGGAAAGTGGTCCTGCTCATGGAGTAGCCTCGGCTGCAGCCTGGAGGAGCCTCCCACATCCAAGTCGGCCATTTTGATTAGGTCATGTGACTAGAAGCTTTCTCAGGTGGAAACCAAACTTTACTGTCTATACGAAACCGGAAGACAAACAATGTCCTAACCATAACCTTAAATCCTAATCCTTACCCTCAACCCTAAACCATTACCTTAAACCCTAACCCTTACCCTAAACCCTTACCCTAACCCTAACCATAAACCTCCACCCTAAACCCTAAACCTAACCCTTACCCTAAACCTAACCATGACCCTAACCCAAACCCAGCTAATACAGTTTAATTCAGATTAATTTCACTATTTTTAAATTAATGTCTATGAAGCAATTACCATTTTCTTGCCTGGGATCTTCCTATTGGTGACCTAATCAAAATGGCCACCTTGGATGTGGCGAGACGTACTTGTGCTCATGTCCTGCTGATGATCAGGTTAATGAGCCTAATGAGTAACGATAGAGTAACGATAATCATATTGCTGCTATGCACACTGTAATTTTCTTTTGAAAAAAAATGTATTTTGTCAATTGTGAATAAAAACTAACTACATTTATTACAAAAAGAGAGTCATTCCTTCCTCTGGATAATTCAGCTGGAGGTGTGAGGCTCAGTGTGAGTCAGACGTGACGTCGGGGCTCTCAGGTGACGGGGGGGGGGGCAGCCAGGTCACCGTAGCAACCGGTAAACCATGGAGTAAACCAAGCAGCTTAAGCATCTCACGGACCCTCAGGTGGACGTAGTGGGCCATGGGGGGGGCATTTGGGTTCACAGCAGAAGGTAAGTCTGTCCGTACACGTTTTGAGATGAACTCTGATATATATATAGACCAAAAATATGTTATTGGCCAATTAATTAGTGGTTTAGGTCAAGCAGATTCTAGTTTCTATTGAGCAACTGGAAGTCTTGCTCTATAAAAGGAAGACTTACTGGCATCATGAGGACATGATGAACATATGAAGGTGATCCAGAATGAACTCAGGTCAGAGGAAAACCCAAATGATCTAAAAATGACATTTGACAGAGGAATACTTGTCAAAGTTTAAGAGCTGACAAAGAATAAAAAGCCTGCAAGATCTTTAAGGGAAAGCATGAGACTCCCTCTGATTGGTGTGTGTTACCTTCTAAATATGTGTGAAGTGTTTCAGTTTAAGCCACAACACAAATATGAGTGTTCCTACTTTATTTGCTCTAAAAGAAAGCTTGAATTTTTTCTGTTTTTTTCTTTTAAGGAGCGTGTGTCTTCTGTCTCCATTTGTATTTTCAATGGAAATGTGTGGACAGCCCTCAAGATAAACGGGGGATAAGCATAGAAACTGTGCTAAACAAAACAATCCTGACCCCATTTATGTTCTTCAAATGTTTAGTTATTAAAGCCACAAAGAGCCTTAAAGCAAGAACGTCAAAATGACCACAAAAATGTGGCTCCAGGAATAAATCAGAGAGGTAAAGAATCTCTGAACTGCTCTGGTTCATAAAAACCTGAATTTCACCTTTTATCAGCAAAAGGGCGACTTGTTTTACCAATCAGAATGAGCCACAGTCGTAGTTTGGATCACATCCGTGTGCTCTTCTTTAGTTAATTTAAAACTAATTTGTTCTTGTGCTGGATCGTGGATGGATAAACTTTTAAAAAAATAATAATTCTGGTGTTTTACAAAGTCTTCTCAGGCCAATCGGACGCTGATGAACCTGCATCAGGTTGAAGTCTCACAGAGGAGATGTGGCCTCATCACCATGTTCCTCCCATTTTAACACACCATGATCAGTGAGTAGTACACATCGGATTCCCACCAGAATGACAAATAAAAACAGACTCCCAGCGCTCAGCTCCTGACTGTGTTCAGATGTGTTGGTGATGGTGCTGCTGCCGGTGCTCAGAGCCCAGGAGGGGCCTCCTGCCCCCCCGTGTCCCACTTCCTGTCTGCTCTGCTCCCAGGAGGCTGTCATCTGCCAAAGACTCTCTCAGATTATTGGTAAGATCACGCTAGGGTTGTCAAAAGTATCGATACTTTAAAAAGTATAGATACTAAAATGTTGTATCCAGATACGATACTCATTTTCAAAAGTATCGATACCACCCCCCTTCTCTCAGATTTATTTATGTATTTATTTACGTTGTTTATGATCATTAACGTGACGTTAGCCTTGAACTGCTAGCTGCGGCTAATGGCTAACAATAACATGCTACCATTAATCAAGTACATATCCAACTCCGCCCACATCCAAATCGGCCATTTTGATTACGTCACCAAGCCAAGAAAATCCTAATTGCTTCATGGCAATATAGACATTAATTTAAAAATAGTGAAATGAATCTTGCAAACCCTGAATTAAACTGTATCCATAATATTACGTTAAAATAGTGGATGTTAAATAGGTTTGTACAATAAGTCCAAACAAGTTTAACCAAAAAATATTTATTTCTCACAATGATGAAAGGTTAGGGTTAGGGTTAGGATCAGGGTTAGGGTTAGGGTCATTAATGTGGGCCACCATAACATCAGTAAACGGTAAGTTTGAAATGAAAGACACTAACCTGTCAAAATTCTGTTAAATTTGGGGGTCTTTGTTTTTATCCTTGTGGTATTGAAAATGGTATAGAGTATGGAGTATTTTCCTGAGTATCGGTATCTAGTTGAAAATTTTAGTATCGTGACAACCCTAGATCACGCTATAGGCGGTGTGGAGGTCCCTGTTGTGAGCGTGTGTGTGTGTGCGTGTGTGTGTGTGTGCGTGTGTGTGTGTGAGTGTGTCTTTGCTGCTGCATCAGAGTGAGTACCAAAAGTAGTTTTTAACCAACAAAGTGAGGTCTTTTTTTGAAAGTGAGGACATTTTCCTGGTCCTCACTTTATTGTGTGTGTGTGTGTGTGTGTGTGTGTGTGTGTGTGTGTGTGTGTGCGTGTGCGTGTGTGCGTGTGTGCGTGTGTGTGTGTGAGCAGAGGCTCCCGGTTCGACACAGGCCCTGCTCCTTACTGAGGGCTCCATCTCCAGGGTCCAGACCTCCTCGCTGTCCGACCTCTCCAACATCACCGTTCTAGGTCAGAACCCCTGTGGATCTCCGGTTTAACTCCGGGTTTCATCACACCCCCCATCAGAGCTCAGATCTCTTTCCCGTCTGTGTCTCAGGTCTGAGTCAGAACCGGATCTCAGAGCTGGGTCAGGAGGCCTTCAGGAACCTGCCCTTCCTCCAGACCCTACTGCTGGACCACAACCTCCTGACCGGCCCGGCCCTGGAGGGGGGGGCTCTGAAAGGCCTATCCCAGCTGGAGGTGCTCGCCCTGGGCCACAACCTCCTCAGCATGGTGGGTACCTCACCGGGGGGGGGGGGCACTTGAAATGCATAAACATCCTTAATTTCCTGAGGGAGTCTTCCCAAGGGATCAATAAAGTACTGTCTAAGTCTAAGTCTAATGCTGTCGATGTCTAACAATTGGACTCATTTCTTTGTCGAGTTAAACTGATCAAGCCTTGATGGATCCCAATCCTGCTTTGATAAGAAGCAAGATTGGCCTTAAAGTTCATTGATTGATTATCTCGGTTGCCGTGCAGATCCAGGCTGATTGGTTTAAAGGCACAGAGGCTCTTATCAGTCTGAAACTGGAGGGAAACCTGCTCAGGAATGTGGACTCTGGCTCGTTCCCCCTGAATGGCCTTCGAGATCTGGAGACTCTGGATCTGTCAGATAATCTGATCGATCGTCTGGATGAAAACAGGTTCAAAACTTTTATTTAATCAGACTCCGATTTCTCAAAAACATTTACAGAAGAAGTGTTAGTTTTGGTTCTGTTGTGGTTCTAGTTTCAATGGCCTGGTGAGTCTCCGGACTCTGGACCTCTCCAGGAACCGCCTGAGTTCTGCCCCCGCCGAGGCCTTTTCCTACCTGAGCTGGCTGGGAAACTTAAACCTGGACCTAAACTCCTGGAACTGCTCCTGCGAGCTGCTGGAGCTGGTGGAGCTCCTGTCCACCTTCATCCAGCAACCCGACAAGGTGCCAGAGCTGTGTGCACAACACCGGGTTAAGAACGAACCCATTAGCAAACAGGCTAACGGGGTTTCCTCAAACCTGACCTGTTCTCCACTAGGGTGGTCAGAAGTATTGATAGGTTGTGTATGATCATTAGCGTGATGTTAGCCTTGAATTGCTAGCTGCGGCTAATGGCTAATAATAACACGCCAACATTAATCAAGTCAAGGATGGATATCCAACTCCCCCCACATCCAAGTCGGCCATTTTGATTAGGTCACCAATAGGAAGATCCCAGGCAAGAAAATCCTAATTGCTTCATGGCAATATAGACATTCATTTAAAAATAGTGAAATGAATCCTGCAAAGACTGAATTAAACTCTATACTTAATATTATGTTAAAATAGTGGATGTTAAATAGGTTTGTACAATAAGTCCAAACAAGTTTAACCAAAAAGTATTTATTTCTCACAATTATGAAGGGTTAGGATAGAGTTAGGGTTAGGGTCATTAATGTGGGCCACCAGCCATGATAACATCAGTAATAGGTAAGTTTCAAACCAAAGACACTAACCTGTCAAGATTCTGTTCAATTTGGGGGTCTTTGTTTGTATCCTTGTGGT